TTAGCACCTGGATATAGACTTACATAGTTTTTTTTTGTGGCGCACCTTGTCTCTTTTACAAGCAAAGGTGTCTACAATTGTGACAAGCCTTGAAAAGCTCTGAACCTTGAAAACTGTTCAAAAAGTCAAAAAAAATCATGGCAGAAAGCGTCGGCATACAAGCAACACCACCGATTTTTGAAAAAGAATCAATTAGGTTCTGGTTTTTATACATTGTTTTGACTTTTTATATTTTTCTGTTATTTTCTTTCTATTTAGTTGATTTTCATGCTAAAGTATTTATTAACGCCTTTGGATAAGTACCCTAATTTCACGCGTACAAGGCGCGGGGTGGTCCTAGCTTTCATCGACCAGCCCGAACATGGCAAAGGACTTCGCAACCAGAGGAACCCCATATCGTGCTGCGTTTTGCCTGACGAATCGTGCGGCATAAGGATCGCTTCTTAAAACACGTTGGGGCGGCTGAGCAGCTCGATGAAAGCTAGGACCACCCCGCGCCTTGTACGCGTGAAATTAGGGTAAATATGATTTTTGTAGCTTCTATTGTGGTCGATAAAAATACTGTTTCTTTTCGAATGAAATGCGGATTGTTGTAATTCAAGGCCGTATTAAGTCTGCAATAGTTTTTTTAATCACAACTCACTGTGGACCTTTTCAATTCAGCTTTTGATGAAGGGTCATCTGAGTTTTAGCTTAGAAGTGAGGGGATCCAGTGTTGTCCCTATCGCAACTTTGATTACGATGGAAAAAGAGGACCAACTCAAAAATAGAAGGAAAAATTTAGGGCAATGAAGCATGTGAACGGTGTGCCGTAAACCAGTTGTTATTCAATTCCTAAGGAAAAATTGTGAAGTTTTCAAATGTTGCTTAAGAGACAAATTTAGATCTTTTATAGTTTCATTTCTCTCAATGCTAGAAAATCTTTGCAGCAATTCCTTCCGAGAATAGGAGAGCCACTATCAGATGAAAATTTCTCTCTACTTCGTTGTCGACCCATTTTAGTCTGAAGATGGCATTGGCCTTTCCATTCAGTGACATTAATTACACATGATGTGAAGCTAATTCTTATCGAAACTCAAGTATAGCGCAACTGTTACAATTCTCCTACAAAAAGAGCTCTAAGGAACAGTAGATTCATGGTTTGCCTTCAGGAACCAGTAAATGTGAAGATAGAGTACGCAGTTCTCTTGTGTGAACTGGTTCCAACTTTGTGAAAGCTGGAACAACACGCTCTTTTAGCTAAAAATAAAACTTTCGCTCAAGTCGTACCAATCTCGTTGAAAAAGATTCTATATCGAAAAACTTTTTCGGTGGTTTACGCCAGCAGAGCATCGAAATTCAATCAAGTAATTTTAAGACGAAGAATAGGTGTTCGGTGGCTTCTGTTGGAAGTAAAAAATTGTAAATTAGAAAGGTGAATCGCTCTGCAAGATTGGAAGAAACCCACGACAACTGTAATTAGTTGAAAGAAGATTGCTCTTTAGGACTGCAGCCGTCATTTCCTTCCCGAAATAACCCGTCAAGACACTCTTGAGTATTAAAAAGAAAGAGTTCAGAGATTTTAACAATGAGAAGGTTTCTCGAATCAATTCCATTCTTTATTGAGACGAATTCTATTTCTATCAATGTTTTAAGTGCAGCGGAGACAGTCTTGAAGGAAAAGAAAAATCTTCAGCTTGTTTACTTGTACAGAAGTGATTAAAAAATATGTTATCAAATTACGAATGGTAGCAATCTACATTACAGACAGAATGAAATTTGAACTTGTTTTTTTGGAAGGCAGTTTTTGAAACATCTTGTTAAATTATCGTCGCTCATCAAAATGCCAATACTGCAGCCCGTAGTAAATAAATAAATAATGTATTCCCCCTCCACACAACATGGTTCGCGATTTTTCGAGCTTATGCAATAATTTCGATAATCACAATGGCTGGCTCCAGCCAGTCTCTTGCAATGTTGTGGACACTAGCTACCCTCACTTCAGGGCCATCTTCAACAGTTGGGAGTGTCTTCACAGACTCTTTTGTCGCATTTGATGCATCACATTAGATCTACAAAATAGTGTTGAAAAAAAAGAAGAAGATTACGATATCACATGGTGTAAGATCTGTGAAGAAAGAAAAGCTGAAATTCTGCATTTGGAAACTATGTGTAACATAAGGGCGCCAGACAGTTATCATGTTAATGGTGAAGCTGGGTCCTTTCAGGCCCACTGTATTCCTCCTTGTTGCAAATCCAACGGAATGCTTTCTAGAAATATAGTTGTGTTAACGAGGAACTGCAAGAAACGTTCTGGAATAGGAAAGTTGCTACTTGTTAACAAAATTATCTGAGTTCAAGTAAATAATATTAGGTTGTCCCACAAGTCTTTTCATATTCGGACCTTCAATTCGGTTTTTCTCAAGAACTACAGCACTTAATAGGCAGCAAATTTTTAACAGTAATTCTGAGTGAATAAGCTATATAATCAACCATTTCCGGAGTACACAGAAGTGATACAGGCAAAGTTTGAAAATTGAGCGCATTATTTTTTTCTTGGTTTCTAGCCATCAGAAAAATGCAGCAAGCGCATGTATAGATATCCGATGAGAAGAGTATATGCATGAAAAAGTGGGAAATTTGCAGAACTGTTTTGAACTGAGATATGATGATTTCCGTTTTTTCGGAAATTCGGAAAATTTTTTATTTTGGCTTAGAACTTGTTGCTGATTGAGCTTGGTGCGAACTTTTGGACGCCATCTTGTAGAGCTTACTTTGATCTGTCGAACGGTACCCTGCATTTTATCAGGAGTCCAAGAAGAACTGATTTATGCCGCTGAAAATTCAGGTATGAAAAGACTTATGGGACAACCTAATAGTTGAATTTGCCCATGTCACAACGCTCATCATTTCCCAAATGAGTAAACCATCCTTAGAAGCAGTGAAGGATATGAAGTGAGAGTTCAAAAGTCTAGGAAGAGGCCCTCTATTCAAATATTAGGTTGGCTAATTAAAGTTCTTGCTCTTGCTTTAAGTTCTTGCTAATTGAACTTTCCAAATACCAAACCTAATTTTATGGTTTGGTATCTTAAAAATATTAGAAGGTTTGCTAATTTCTGGTTCTCAACTTTTTGTGGAAGAACTGCAGCGATAAGGGGATCTATTATGTGAAATGACAATTTTCACAAATTTTTTCTTTTTGCTTTACCTACAAGATTGAAGGCTGCCAGAGTAAAGTATAGACTTTTGCTGTGTAAGTGACTTCTGAGGATTTTTTTTGGGTTAAGTAGCGATCCTACGCGATTTTCTAGCACCAAATTCAAAATTCCAAAATTTATAACGCCATATTTGAAACCTTCGTTCTCGGTAGCTAACTTATAAAATGTTATGTCTAAATCTTCATTATGGAGTGCAAACTTTCTACTATATTTACAAGAGCGAATCATGAACTTAGGTTCAATATTCGAGAAGTTATTGAATTTTGTCTGAATTACGTTAGAACATTCGCGCCAGCCCAATATATTGTTATCAAGCCAAGTTGAATGGAAACTACAGAATCCAGTTATTGACATAGCATAGACTAGATTCGCCTTACTAAAAGCATTTTACGAACAAATCTTCAAGGCTGCCAACGAAATATTGCTCTCATATCTTCAGGAAGAAAGGTAAGTGACAGAAAACCCTTGTTGTATCTTGATTTCGGATGCAAACATTACTACAACAAAGAGTGAAAAGCAGGGAATCAAAGCAATGGTCAAAATCAAGGAAAATGGAAATTCCCCAGTCGCGTTTATGGCACTTCAACACAGAGTTTGAAACCATGATTGCTTCCGGCTGTGAAAGCAGGTCGAGCATTCCCTTCTCTGCCAGGAAGTCAGTCTCACATTCAGTTATCAGTCCAGCTGCTAGTAACGTTCTACATATTTGTCATCATCTGCAGGCACAATTTATTGGACTGTTCTGCACGCTAATAGGGGAAGTCTAGTTTTGAAGGCCTTCATAAGCGTCGTTGTCATTTGATCTTAGCCGTTTTAACGGATTTTGAGCTGGAAAAACAGACATGCAAGAAATGCTCTTAGTTTTTTGAAATCTGAAGTCTTTTATCTTCTTCGACTATATTTCTCTTTCAGCTACAGTGAAAGTCTGTAGCTCAGTTTCCATTTCCTCCGCTTCCTTTTATTTATTTATATATTTGTTTAATATACATGAGTACACCACAAATGAAAAGAGAAAGAAAAAGCACAACCCGATCAATGGGATTGGATCACTGTCCCTTTCTGGAAGGACCAGGTCGTTCTCCTTCGCCAAGAAGTGAGTAGGGTTGTGCCGAAATCCTTTTCCCTTACCCGGACGCGGTTTTAAGGGCAGCAATTACCAAGGCTTGGCTGACTAACTTAACCCGAGGCGGAAGAATCCGTCAGGAACCGTGAGCGAACGAGAAGGGGGCCCCTAGGTATAGCACTCACTAGTCTTCGACCTCCTCGAACGGCTATTCCAAGTTAAGAGAACTTTTCCAAACCCTTCAAAGGTAGTGGACGTTGGAATGTAATCAACATGTAAAATACCAGTAAAAATCATCACAGTTTTTTGAAATTATTCGAAAGGTAAATTAGCGGTATGGACAGATTTTACGCAGAACCACCATTTCAATTCATAGTATCAAGCACATTGTCAGCAGACAGCGTCTTATGTTATTTAGAGAAAAACTCGTCTCAGGGCCGCTCCTTCAACTATATCTGACTATCCAGTGGTATCTATATTATCTTGTCTTCCTGCTCGCAGTACAGCTTCTTAGTGCGCAGAATGATCATGCCCTCCATATCCAATTTCACATAACATTCCAAGACATCGTTCCTTTCTAATCACATGCATAACCATGCTTTCTTTGTACGTCGGATGCGAACCGTTTTGACCCGTAAGTGATCGAGGGGGCCGAGTTTGCGCATGCTAATGAGCAGGCGCAGCTCGAACCAGTTCTGTAGCGTCGCCGCTTGGCAGCCGGGGGCCCGCCCCACTGACCTCTCCAGAAAAAGAGAAACACCCGTCATCAAGTATTCCCGAGTTTACACTAGACATGCTTATTCTACTTCTACTAGCCGACACTTTCTTCCTTTCCTACTCATGCATATCCACCCGTAAGTTCATCACCTTTAAATCCTCCTTATTGCCACCTTCGATTTGAGGACTTTGTGGGAACTGCTTGAGTCAGTAACGCGAAGTTGCCATGTTTCAACCAAACGACTAAAATAAAAATAGTATGTGTACATATGCCGTCCTCATTGCTCAGAAAGAATTGCACACCCGCCTGATTAGAGCATGGCCAAACTAGGGATTTGTGCTTATCGGTGGTCTCTAAATGTTGCGAGCATCCGTTCCACTTATGCACATTTGTACCTCCTTATTCGTGGGTAAAAAACACACATTTTTCTGCTATTTTTTCTGCCTCCTTAATCATGCTCCACTTGACTTGCGAGCTAATATGCGAGTATCTCAGTATGATACATGAAGTGACCTAAAATAATTTGCAAAAAATTGAGAAACATTAAAAAGCCTCAAGCCTTAAGTAATGGACTGCGAAAAAAAGCTTTAGAAATTGGTAAGATTTTGCGATGAGCATTGATTTTTTTCTTTGCATTTTGCGGAGTTACCCCTTTTTATGTAAACGTAGACTTGTTGATGCTCTTTTGTTTTCTAAACTGTTTCCTACATCTTATATTCGTCCAGCGCACAATCCACTAGTTCCTTACCTTCTCTTTAAAAACGTTTGATTTTTTCTCAAGCTCAAAATGTAGTTTGGTTGAATGGTTACGATAATTTTGTCTTCTGACCAATCAGGTGCTACCGTAGCGAACCGTATCAGTAGAATTCCAGCATCGTTTCACAAACACACCAGTTTGAGCATTGGGTATCAGAACATTTACAATAAAATCTGAAAGTCTGTGAAGTGTTTTTTTATAATTTCGCCTAACAAAAGGTGTTTTTGACGGCATGCTTAGAATGAAAGTAGATCATTATCTGTTTGATTGTCTCTTTCAAAAACTAATGATTATTTTCTCATTCGTTAGTGCTTTGCATGTTTGTGGTTTTACCCTAATTTCACGCCAAGGCGAGGGGAAAATTTTTCCAAAATCGACCAGCCCAGACAAGCCAAAAGACTTCACAACCAAAAGATCCTTTACCGTGCTGTATATTGCTTAAAAGAATCGTACGGCATAAAAATCTCTATCCGAGATACAGTGAAGCGGCTGAGCGGCTCATTTGAAAAATCGAGAAAGGTGCGCCTTGTACGCGTGAAATTAGGGTACTTAGAGTGCAAAGCTACAAAGGAACAATGCAACTTCTTCACAGCAAATAAGAATACATTTTCATTGCAAATAGGGCGCCCTTACAAGAGGTTTTTCATGTCTTCCTTTGTTCAAGTTGAATTTGTATTGTTTTGCACTGGAGACTATTTAAAGTCAAGCTATTGTTGTCAGGACTCGGCACAGGTGGGTCATAAGCAAGCTAAATATCGTTTTTGGGACAAAAGCAAAGGGGATTCATTTTTGTGGGTCCAAAATTAATTTTTTTGGTCGACCTTTCTCTTAGTCGTGTCGGAGATATTTCGGATAAGGGCCAAAGGGGACTTCGTTTTGCATTTTCGGATAGCCACCTCGTGCCGAGCCTTAATTATTGTGCGTCAGAATCTTAGGTATTTATTAAACCACGAAAAAAACCAAACACTCTTTCAACCATGTTTTTTAGTGCTTTTGACTCGAGTTTTAAATGGCTGAACTTCAAAACTCGTTCTGAAGAAGAGTAGTTTACCATTCGGATTCACTGAATCTGAGCTTCTCTGTTGTAAGCCTCCATTTCTGCTCACTTTCTACACCTTGTCAATCAATCTAGCAACGTTTATTCTGAATTTTTATCATATTAGGTTGTAAAGAAAGTTCTGCCAATTCTTCTCTTAAATACCAAAAATGAATGCGAATGCAAGGGGCTGATTTGAAAAGTGTTCCTAGTGTGCAATGACCCCAACTACCCAACACGCTATTCAGCTTGAAAAAATTGACCAGTAAGTAAAAATGCACAAAAAAGGAGAAAAATCCGTTGCGCTCAGGTATGCGAAAACGCCATTTTTCAGATTATGGACGCGCAGAACTTCCAGAAGCTTGATTTGAAAATCGTTTTATACCCCGTGTATTAGCTAGGTGAAGCAGTATCCGACTATTACTTGTTCCGGTATTTGGGTCTTTCTGCAAGCAATAAATAACTCATTGAATTCAGGGTTCAAAAAATCGAACTCTTCACATGTTTCGAAACGCAGCCAATGCGCTTTTTGGAAAAAAGCATCTACGACATAACTGATCAGTAGTCTAAGGTTGTTAGTACATATGATCAAAGTATCGCTAATTGACAGCCACTCATGGTGAAGATATAAATAAAACAATTTAACTTAGCGTCTTTTGGTAGAACTTTCTTTACAACCTGATATTTGGCTAAGCGTAGTGGAATTGGGTCCATTTACTGACATGGGAACAAAAAGTGCTTCAAAAACAAGCGTTGCAAAAGAGCAAACGAATGCCAAAAAGGCTTGTGAAGGCAGTACCCTACTGATCTTAAAGACGTTGTTCGCTAACTTAATACTGTTCTACTTCAACCCAATCAGAGAAAAATTTAACATAATAGATCAGCTTGCAGTCGTTTCCCAAATAAGGTCTTTGTTCAAAGAGATTAAAATCTTTAGGAGAACTCGCAATTCCAAATGGACTAAACCTGTGAGACTCCTCGCTAAGCCTATGAAAATAAGCGAAGTCCACTTTAACCCTGAACCCTAATGAAAAACCCTTAAAAAACCTAAGTTGTGTTTTTCGCGATATCCCTTCGCTTTTTGTCCTAAAAACGATATCCAACTTGCGTATAAGGCACCTGTGCCGTGACCTGTTTCGGACCATCAATGCCCAAGAGGATGCCGACAATGTATCTTACTTACCTTTCGAAGATTTTTGAAAGAGGTTATATCTTTTAGATGACAAATCCTTTCAACTCAAGGGCATAACTTCTCTATTCTTGTATTTGACATATCCTGAGCTTTTCCTACTTGAAATTTTCATTTTAAAGTCTAGTTGTCTAGCGCAGTTTTCTATAGTGCGTTTAGACAGAAGTATTCTGAGAAGCAAGAAACAAAAATAGATTCGAAGGAATTAGACCTTTCGATTGTTTTCCGTCAGTTAGAGAAGAGATTTGTATTCTGTGATTTCATGCTATAAATAACGCTATTAAAGTGTGCTTCTTTTGTTACTCTTGCAGAGAATCGTCCGAAATGCGATCGTATTCCATTTAAAGCTCAGAGTTCTCCGGCGAATACCATAGAAATCTCTTTAGTCAATCGGGCCCACATTCAAGCATCCTTGAATTGTAGATCCACTTCACTCCAAATCGAATCATCAAGCTCGCTTGTAAAAGACAATCTATGCTTAAGCTTCATTGTAATCGCTAGATGAAATGGTGCGCTTTCCCAGATCCATTTAATGTTTCCTTTATTGCTTTCTCTTTTCGAGAGCCCGGAACCGTCTTCGCTTAGTGAGTCTGTTTTTAGCCGTTCGTCTCGGCCCGTCCGGCCACTTTTTCGCTAAGCCGCCGATATAGCTATGAAAAGTGTGTGTAGTAGTGCGAAATATGGTCAGAATGCTGCGAAAAGCTTTTTATGGATTAGTTTTTTTGCTCACAGCCTCGCATCTCAGCATAGGCGACAGTGCATTAGCCGAATTGTGAGTGGCGAAAAACCATTTGAAGAAGAGCCAGTTTCATGATCGCCTACCCGCTAATGTGCCGCAGCGAAGCGTGCTATGAGAGGGCCGCATTTCTGGATGAGCAGGGAAGTGACCATTTCACGCCGTTCTCGAAACATGCACCCCTGAACAAGGAGCAGAATACGCAAATTTCGCTTCGCTTTGCATTTTTGATTGAAAAAATTGAAAGGGATAGCGCCGCAAATAAGATTTGGAAGCTCTGAATTTTTTTTTTTGAGACCTGACGGTTTTCATAGCTAGACTTGCATAGAATTTTTGGATGAGATATTAGCATATTCATGGCAATATGATCCACCGGTGGTCGTGTATGTCCTGCCATTTCTGACCTACGATCCACCGCTTTCTGAAATTTTTGATTTTGCTGGTTTATGGTGAAACTTCCTGGGCAAACTGAATGAACTCCTGCATGCATTTCTTGAAGTACATCCAAGAGGATCACCTCACACCACAAGACTCTGGCCAGAAAATGCGCAGACTCAGTTTTGCAAAATATGCTTTGGTCCGAAATTATAGTCATGTAAAAAATGGCTCATTCGTAAATGTGTCAAACCTTTTTCATGGCAAGATCTCCGGGATGTATTCCAAGAAATTCTCCAGTCAACAGAAAGTCCCTCTATTTCTGTAATTTTCGAAACTATACATTTCAATTTCCTAGCACCTGAGCTGAATCTTTCAAGTTTTGTGTTGCCAGAAATAGTATTTTCGATCTTTTTTGACAATCGTATGAGAATTGACTACGCTTTCTTCAAATGGAATCTATCGCAAAACAAAGTAAATCTGCATATTCTGGAGTTGATTAGTGCTCGGACTATTTCACTTACAAAGTACTCGCACAGCACTTTTTGTATACTTTCTGTACGATGGAAATTTTTGGGTTTCTGCCCTATATGAAAAGAGTAAACCATTAGAGGCACTCACTGCCATCACTTGCACTATGCATGCATTATGCCATCGGAACTGTAGCTGATTACGTGCAGTTATATTATAAGTTTCAACCTATATTGAACCTGGGGAATGTATGGCCAAAGTTCCACATAGAAAAGTAGAGAGATCACTGAACAAGAGCGCACGATAGCACGCATTTCTTTGGCCAGAGAAAAAAGAGTAAATGGAGAAAGTCAACTCATGGCTTCCCACATTGGATCAAAACGGATATTTAGCATGTTTTACTCCGGAATTAATTATACTATAGGAGGATGCACAAGGATGCATTACAGATCACTCAAATTTGCCGATTGTCTCCTAGATGTATGTTTACTATACTAATAGTCAATTTTCTCCTTCATTCCTAGCTACATGCTTTGAACTTCTGCCATAAATGAAAGATTTTGACTTGCAATCGTAGAAACTTGATGGAAGCGCCAGATCGCCTCAAATATGCCTTGCTAAATGACTTTTGACCAGAATAATTTTCTTGGTTGCTGCAATTCTCTATTGCAAACGACTTTAATGGACATTCGCTTCAATATCAATATTATGAAACGGCGAGGTAAAAATGGGAGACAGCGCATTTAACAATGTTGTAGAACTGACTTGAATATTTCCTTTCATCATCGAATACCTTGCAAGTTCTTCATGGATGATCTTTCTTACTGAATGTGAATGCCCTGAGTCATTGACACTGTAAACGATTTACATTTGTATCTCGTGCAGCAAATTTGATAATGTTTTGAGATTGCACCTTGAAAAAATATGTTTTAAATCATCAAAACAGCTTGTTATCAAATCTTTGACTATCTTTTTGCAAGCAGACAGCCGACGCCAAAGAAATCCAACTGTAGTTGAATAAGTACTATCTGTTCTGAGCTTTCGTCTTTGACCGTTGAATCCTCGTTTGAGAGAGATAGAGTAGAAAAATTTTTAACTCTCAAATTCCCACGACTGCTTGACTACTGGAATTCAGCGAGCTCCTGTTCAATCAGTCTCAACGAGCTTATCTTCGATAATACGTAGGATAGCAGAAGAAAACTAAGGATCGCAACGATAATTTTTTTCAAAAATAATAGAAAATAGAATTGGACGCCATTTTTTATTGGAAATCTTTGTTAGTGCTCTGTGCTATGCCTCCTGTGCTTCACCTTGGGAATGCCATCCTTATTTCATAGCCTATTTTTTTGAAATGATCAATATACGACGAAAAAGAATTACGTCTGCCAATAAGAATACTCTATAGATTGACATTGACTTCAGCAAAAGTGACAACGTAATATAGTGAGTCAAATAGTATAAACTACAGGCGATTCGATGGAGAAGGTTCCATTAGGATAGACTTCCTCAGGCTAGCTCTAAACATTTGACAATAGAAAGTAAATAATGGAATATATGGGATGGAAGAAGAAGAAAGAGTTTTCATTGATTTTTTAGTTAATGTCCCAAAACGAAAGCTGTAAGAATACTTTTTGCTCACGACCAGCAAATAAAACTTTATCCAAAAATATTCAACATCATCATTTTCAGCTTTATCGTCAAGCTGTGGCTGCAGTACCTGTCCGTGTTCTTCCCCTCCAGTACATCCACCTCCTCGTCCAATCAATCCGACCATCGTTCAACCCCTCCCTGTCAATCCTTCACAGTACATTTTCTCATCTCCAGTTCCTAGGGATCCATTTAATATGCCTATCAATGAGCCGCCAGTGAGTGACGCCTTTCGTCCCAAAGTTAGGCAGAAAAAGATTTTTGTTTCAGTTGCCGGAATCTCCGCCGTACTTCTTCTTTACTCCGCAAACAAAAATCGAAGATGGTCCTTCTTATTTAAACGAGCCGCCACCAAAATTCATTTCGAAAGGGGGAGAATATCCGCGAATACCTGCAACTGCTCGTACCTTCACCGGACCGGATTCGACTTCTTCTGTTGAGAGAGTCAATGTCGGAAGCAGCTACGAAACCCCATACTCGGCTCCACCGTCAAGGATTCCACCCAAGAAAACTCACATCGAAGTTGTGGTCCCAATGACCACCAGCAACATCTACATTGAAGGAAAGGAGATAGCACCTAAGCCAATGACAACGACCGGTTATCAGACGACAACACCCCCGCCTCGGACTCAAGTATACGTTTCTACTCCAGGATCTACTCGTAGACCTGCCCCTGTTTCCGGCCAAACGGTAGCCACGGAGCAGACGCAGACTTCGTTTGTAGCTGAGGGTTAGTCTTCATTAACTTGAAAAATTTATTTCAAGAATAACCTGACAAATGAGCAGAAAGTCTCCAGCTATACTCTCCCAGTTTTAATTTTCACGATGTTTTTGTAATCAGCTGGTAGCAGTCATTTTCTTTTTAAGAATGGATCAAAATTTCTCCCCTCGAAAATGGGTCGAAATTTTTTAAAGTTATTTGAGTTATAAAGATCTCCATACGACTTGTTTATAACTGCGAATAATTAGATTGATTTTCATACTTTTTAGAGCTTAGATTGGCCTTGTAAAAAGTTTTTTTCTCAAGGTGTGGTTGCGGGGCTATGGGCCCAAAAAATGTTGGCAGACATCTCAAAAAAATTCCACTACACTAGCTCCGCGCACCTTCATTAGGAAAACTTTTTGTGGACCCTCCCTTCCTCCCCCCCCCTCACCCTTCCGCCCGCCCCAATTGGAAATCCTGGCTACGCCAATGGGCTTTAGAGATTCCTTATGATGAAAGTAGAGTGGAAGGTTAGAAATAGAAAAATGAAGATACGAGAAAAAGATGTTCCAGGTTCTCTTCAAGTTCTCTTATTCTAGTATCTTCTGGTATTTGAGAAATCTCAAATTGCAAGTAATTTTATTGTGATTTCATTTGATACGCTTATCAGAATCAAGATTCTTTGACAGAGCTGACGAGTAGGAGCGCATTTGGAATAAATGTTTTGCCATTTACCTATCCAAGACGTCTATAATACTTGGTATAGTTGTGGAAACACACAATGATGCTAGAAAAACACAAGCTACAAACGACTTCCGTTCCGCTCGCAACCTGTCTACATAGCTTGCACATCTGTTTACACATATCTATTCCAGTTTCTTTTACTGGGCAACATCTTCTGTGTTTGTTTGCTTGGGATACAAAGTGGTTATATCTAACAAGATGTTCATGTAGGTAAAAGAAGGAGTGAGGGTCGCCTTCTTCAACAGACTTAATAGCAGCCTCCAGCGGAATCTAAGCTCCCCGATTAGTACATAGTTCAAAAAGAAGGCCCTGGTAGGCAGGATATCTGCGTTGGTCTGGTCCTAATGTGGCCTCTAAATGGAAAAAAATGGATCTGAAAAATTGAAAATGCTGTCAAGCCAAGCCTGCCCTATCAAGCCCCGCCCACCCAAGTATTGATGCTGTGCTTTCGGGATAAGGCTTCCCAAATCAAGATTTTGAGGGGGTTTGCAGTTCGTAACATCAGGGCCACGGAAAGGCCCCAGAATGACAGAGACATGGAAGATGGAAATTTGGGTGAATGCTGCTTGGAAGTCCGGACAATGGTGCATTTGATATGAAAATGATAGCAAAATTGCTCGCAAAGCAGATAGAGAGATATCAGCTGGGATAGAAGGGCTGGAAAGAAAAATTAAAAACAGCTTTTACGTTATCCCATGACCAAAATTAGCTCCTAGCATACGGCTGCTTTGCGAGAGTTCATTCATAATAAGGGAGCGCTAAAACTTTGGCTGAGAAAGTAGAAGTTTATTTATTTATTTATTTATTTCAATACACTCATGGTGTGCCTAAATGAGAAAAAGAAGAAATAGACAAAGCAACTATGAACAAAACGAGAATCCAACCAGTCTCAATCGCAGGAGTTAAAAAAAATAGAGAAATAGAAGAACAGGATGAAAGAACCCATTCCCCAGGCCTACCAAGACGTTCAATCACTTAAAAAAGTCAATCTGCGAACGACCTTTATAGACTGTATAGAATCCAAATCTTGCTCGCTCTAAAATTATTGTGGCCCACCCCGTCATTTGAGTGTCAGCGAGCCTGCGGGTAAAGCTAGCTGACTGGCCCCCAGTAAAGAGGGGGCCAGTCAGCTAGCTGTTCAATAGATCTTGCTCCCCTCTATTTTAGAGGGGAGCAAGATCTATTGAACATCTAGATAAACTTTTCAAGGAGAAGTGGCAGGGCATAGGGCTAGGTAGCTGTGATACAACGCCATCAGAAAACCCCTTGTTGATAAGACTGGTTGGTTCACGGTCAGCAAATATAAACATGGTCAAAACAACTACTACAGAGATGAATGGTACCATAGATGTACACTCATTCTAATAAGAGGCAAAAAAATTGAGGATAAATGGCAGAAAAGATAAGCTTCATAGTCCGTAAACTCAGTTTGAAAAACGATATAAAATTTTGTAGTAACACAAAGCTCGAAATCACGCCAGAACTAGCACGACGACCTGAAAAAAAACAATATCGAGATAAACAGAACACTAAAACAAAAATGAAGAAAGACTAAGATAAAGCAACTTGCGAATATCGAGATTACTTGTCCACCTTCATGACCTGAATCAAACTGGGTGAAAATCAACAAAGATAAGAATTACAATTAAGAACCTCAGAGATTTCCATCTTTTGAAGACCCTTTTTGAATACCCACCCATTTTTTGATGACAAAAGTTCAGTAGGTAATCGATTTAACCAACGGGCACATCGATAAAACAACGAATTAAAAAGACCGGAGTAGAATTTTTTGTTCAATCTGGGATAGTGGAGATTGAATCCTCCTAGCCTACAGCTTACTGGTCTAAAGACCCAGAAGCTGCTAGCTCTCAGATCAATTTCCTTCCTTAGTATCCGAAAACAAAAAACCAGATCAGATATGATTCTTCTGTTCAAAAGAGGCTTCAAACCCATCATCTTAAGACGTCTATCATATGCAGGAATATCTTTTCTTGAAATAGTTTGGAGTTTACGAAAAAGAGTCATACGCGTGAAGATGCGTTGGACTTTTTCGAGCTTCAGTATTTCCTTTCTACAAGATGGGTTCCACACCTGAGAGCAATATTCCAGGTGTGGGATAACATATGCCTTATATAATTTAGTAAGTAAAAGCTGGTCAGATGAATGAATATTTCGAAAGATTGCAAATAATGAGGCATAAGCTTTTTGCACTACATAATCAAAATGCTCTGTGAACTTCAATTTAGAATCGATCAATACACCCAGATCTCTGACCGATGAAGAGACAGTCAACAAAGTACCATTCTTCATACTCAGTCGGCTGATAATTACCAAGGTGTAGAAAGGAACACTTGCTAGCATTTAGAAAAAGACCATTGCACGACGCCCATCTACTCAATCTATCGATAGAAGATTGAAGTGCTGTATGCATGACATGATGACTTTCCTCATTATAGCATACATACAGCTTGATGTCGTCCGCATAAATCTGAACACTCACTCCATTCACATTCAATAGGGCAGGTAATTCAATAGTGAAGATCAGTAGGGCAGTCATTCTCCAGAAACAGTAATGGGGAGAGTACCCCACCTTGGGGGACCCCACTAGTACATTTGTATCTCTTGTAGGGCAGTCATTCTCCAGAAACAGTAATGGGGAGAGTACCCCACCTTGGGGGACCCCACTAGTACATTTGTATCTCTTGGAGAATGACTGCCCTACTCTGACTGTCATATATCTGTTCTCAAGATAGGATTCGAACCATTTTAAAAGATTGCCAGTAATCCCATACTTTTGAAGTTTCGACAAAAGTATACAATGCGGAATCTTATCAAACGCTTTAGATAGATCGGCATAGATAATATCCACCGACATACCGGCATTGAGGGCTTTTCTCCAGTCAAAAACACTCTTTACTAAGTTGGTCGTAGTAGACCTTCCGGGAACAAAACCATGCAGTTCATGAGGAATTACATAGAATTTTTGCAGCACACAGAGCAACTTCTTTCTGATAATCTTTTCCATAACTTTGATGGGAGTGGGTGTTAGACTTATGGGTCGAAAATCACAGACAGTTGTAGCAGAAGTAGTTTTTGGGATTGCAGTCACCATGGCCTCCTTCCACAAACTAGGCATATCACCATAAGCAATGGATAAATTGAATAGATTTGAAAGAGGTTGCGAAAGAGTGTCCGCACAGTTTCGGTATACTATGGGAGGAATGCCATCGTAAGGTTCTGTGCAAGACATGTTAAGAGATTTCAAGATAGCTTTCACATCAGCAGGATTAAAATTAATCATACTAATTCGATTGTGGCTGCAGGAGCCGTACGTAAAACGATCATCAAAATCTTCTTTCTTTGAAAATACATCGGCGACATATCCACCTAAAGCTTCCGCTTTCTCTGCATCAGTCCCACAAATATTACCACTTGGACCACGAAGAATGGGAAGATTAGTCTTTGTTTGCAGTTTACGCCGTATATATCCAAACAAATTCCTTGGAGTTTTGCTAGACAATCGACGTTCATAATTCGACAGAAATTTCTTTAGATGAAAATCTAAATCAGAGCAAACCTTTTTGTAAAGGTAATCGGATAAAGGATTCTTGAGTGTTTCAAAGAGGTTACGTTTTTGGCTAATTAGCGCACAAATATGTTGCGGATATCGGAAACCGAGAAAGCTACGATTTTTCAAACGTCCAAATCTACCCAGACCTTCATAGACTTTGGCGCAAAAACTCCGATAAAGCTCCTCCATAGATGAACAATTTTCGAAAATGAGCGCCCAGTTGACATTATAGAAGAATTCGTTGAGGTTGGAGTAATCAAAGTTGTAGAAGTCAGGAATAGGAAGCATAGGTTGGACTGAACAAGCCTCTTCAACGTGAAATCCGACGACGTTGTGGTCGGCAGAAGCTATAGGTGGATATATCTTAACATTACTTACATTCTGTGTGGTAGAAAAAATCAGATCAAGTACACGATTTCCATATGTTGGCTTACGCACAAACTGTTGGAAACCACAGTCAACAAAAAATTTGAGAAGGTAATTAGAACTGTGATCAAGCGATTTGAGATTTTCCCAATCAATGTGCAGATTCAAATCACCAAGAATAATGACAGCACTGGAATGAGAAGATGTCAAATTGACTAAAAGTTCAAAAAGCTGCTCGTCATCGCACTGCGTTGAATTAGGTGGACGATATATATTGATAAACTTGAGTAGACTGAAGCCAGAGGAACAGAAAAGTTCGATCGATATTACGTCAATCTTTGAAACTGTGAAGTGATCAACTCTTTTTATGCAAATATCACCTTTAATCAAACAGCACACACCTCCTCCCACTCGTTTCTTCCTGTCGGTACGATGTATCGTATATGGCAAATCAAACAAAATTTCCGAATCAAGTATTTTGGGTGATAACCAAGTTTCAGTAATGAAACATAGATCAGGTTTTTGTCGGCACAAAAAGGTGTGGAGGTGGTCTATCTTGTTGTACCATTTTTGTAAGTTGTACCATTTTTTAACCTAAATTCTTATAACTTATTTTGTTCATCGCTATTTTTTTCGGGGGTAGAACGCGAAGATTTTTTTGATCATTTGTTTTACAATCATGGACGCTCATCCAAAGGTCTTCTAGCAAGGTTTTTCTACTTCAACAAGATGAGAGTTCTGCCTAAAATGGAAGTTACGGCGTTTTCGAATTTTTCGAAATCTGGAAACGCGAAAAAGAGGAGTTGTTGAGTAGGTAGCCCCAACGCATGTCGCATTTGATTCGGATGATTCACATCGAACTCAAAAAAAATTTTTTGCTGGAAGATATGCATACCTCGTGATCTGACGCGATTTGCTTGATCACATACCTTTCAAGCGAGACGAAGATGTTTGAAAACGCGATGAGCAGTCATCCGTGAAGGTACACATTCAGTAAACTCCTAAGCTTTCATAGGAGCATCGTCGAAAATGAGCAAAACACTCAATGCAAATGTCAACATTATGAAATTGTCAACGTTAGATCATTCGCGGGGCATCTAGAATGTGCTAAAGTCCATTCGAAGTATATCGAACGAAGATCTAATGAACTTTCGGTATTTTTTAAGTTTTTCGGCTTGCTATAGGTGGTACTTGAAGATACGATTCTATCTACTTCAAAGAGCATAAGGTATTCTCTTCCATTTTCCTTTTTATGAGCAATGTTCCTACAATGTCGTCCTTAAATTTTGTTTCCATAAAGTCTTGATTCTTCAAAAAACTTGCGCTTTTTTGTTTCAGCACGAAGAATCTTTAAGAGTTCTTCTTCAAGTGTTAGCGTCTCCATGAATGGATATGATGTCAAAAAAATTTCGGATCATAATTTTTAAGTAGGGTAAGATCCACGGAAAAACAGCGAAACGATTTATAATTATAAAATGTTACTGCGGTTAATTTCCAAAGCAAAGAGCCCAGAAAGCTTTCTTACGGGTTAAAGTGGAAAGGGAAGAGGGAGGGAGGAGATGGGAAAATACATTTTTCTAGATAAAGGAGCGTTCTGCCGAAATAAAGTTCCTCGAAACAAATTTGAAAAATTCGTGAGATAGTCTGAGCATGTTCAACGAAAACGATTCATTTGCATAATTATAACGCGGTAGACTGCTATTGAAGTTTTAAAATTTTGCCATGTTATAAAAATGTATTTTAGTAACCTCGATAGCAGAGTAATGTGGGAATTTTTTTACATGTTTACGATAAATTGATGCCAACTGAGAGAAAAGTTGGATTATAACGAAATATATCCATCCAAAAGGAGATAATAGCAACAAGTACTGAGAGTCTGTTACAAAAAAAATTAGGTAATCTGGGGGCACCGACTTGCTCTTCTTTCTATCCATAAAGTGAGTTTATCTCCCTCTACGCTTTTTATGATTCAAATTCAGATGATCCTGCAGAGGACAACGATGAAAGCGAGTTAGAAACAACGACTGTTGACATCTCCGTGAGGAAGTCCAATCATTCTTCTCTACGCAAGCAAATTGAGGTTCACATTCCTCCACTAACAACCGCACTTAAACATAAATTATTTAGGTGACAAGCAGCGACATCGCCAAAGAAACAAATGAATTCATGCGTCGATCTGAGGATGATGCGAAGCCTATGTTCTTGACGTACTATAATCAAGTATGTCTGCAATCACACACAATTCTGGATGAAAAAGTTTGATGTAGGAGTGCAACGGTGTAATGGTGGCGATGTTGGATAACACGACCATATTACGAGCGACAGAAGAATGCTTGAAGCTGGGCTGTAAAGCAGTGAATGCCGAAGTGCATCCAAATGGTCGCTACACGGTAAGCACAACAACAGGCAATTTTCATTCAAATTCTATTAATTTATTTTATACGTTTATTTTATAAACAATGCAATTTTTATCGCAAAGAAGATAAGTTTCATGTGTGAGGGTATAGCTTATTGTTATATACTTCAAATAATGAGTAAAATTACCGTAAATGAAAATGTGGTCAACACCAAATTTATTTGCTCATGCAAATATAGACTAATAGTACCTCTCTTTAACATATCAACTGAAGGCACCGTCCAACCAAACTGAAGTCGGTGAAAATTTGAAGTATAATAACGGTGCCCCTAACTAAGTAATTGCCCAAGTCACGCTGCAAAAAATAAATTCCAAGGGGAGAAAAATCCTTTAGAACGGAGAGAGGGCCCAAAAGACCCAGATGAAGATAAAGGAAGATAAAAAGTCCAGATTCGGGTTCAAATGTATCTATTTTCGACATCTCCAACTATTCTGAAACCCGCTTCCTAGCTAATTATTTTCAGACCAAATATTAGGTTTCTCCAAGGTTCTCAGACATTTTCAAATCAAATCTGCTGTTTTTTGAAACCTAGTACATGTACGTCCTTGAAAATTCGCAGCTGTACTCTCTATCGCCTGTAGTTGAGGCAGTGGGGGAGCTAGACTCAATAGCGGAGGAGTTTGCCACTTTTCAATTACCCTCGTTTTTCTTGTTGTTTGAGTTTGAATTCCGTGAACTGTGCTTATAACATGTAAGAAAGTTTATACTGTGAGTTGGGGCCTGTGGAAGTTTCATAATGTTTCTAGATGTTTTAGGTTACGTGAAATCCTGCAATCATGCCCCAGTCATTGCTTATATCAAAACAAAAATTTTGTCAAAATGCAGTGTCCGAGATTTCGAGCCTAATACGTTTGGGCGGAGCCACATTGGTCCTTGTACCTTCTGGAGCGATTTTCTCGCACCGAAATTCATCTTTTGCAGCGGGACTTGGCCGATCTACTAATTAGGGGTCGCGCTCTTAGACAGCATCAAATCTCAGAATCCTTTGGGTAGGCGGTGCCTTTTGTACACTGCAATTTCTGCTATACGTTTGATTGCAACAAGATTTTGCCGTGACGAATTTCATTCTCTCTTGAATATCGCATCCGCGTTTTTCATCATTAACTTCGAATTTAGAGAATAGGAGTTTCCGCGCATTTTCACCGCAGTAAGAGCCATTTACTACTCAGAAACAATATTGTACGCATAGTTTTAAGGCACCCTGTAATTTATATCAATTTTCCAGAAATATCCTAGTCTATTCCTCCTAGTCTTCTTATGTTAATTTGCTATACATCCAACTTCAACAAAAAATGATCTCATATATGTATAAGCATTACATAACTAGTGTTATACAGGTAGGCTAGCCCCTGGCTAGACGCAATCTCCTCTCCGCAATAAGTATGTAGCTATAAACTTTGATGGTTTCACAGCACCACTCGCAAATTGTAGGGTTCGCTGTCGGACGATGCGGTGCGAATCAAAACGCATGCTAGGGATTTTGACTATGATATTTTGCGTACTTATCGATTGCTATTACAAGGCCGCTTTTTATATTTATCAATCTGGCATTTTTTGAGAGAAAACCTATTTAAACTAGTCGCAGGAGCCGTACTTTATCATAGGATCAACTGCATGCGTTTAGCTACGTAAGCAGTCACTGAAGGCTTACATAAGAGCAGGAAGGCAGCGACTTCTTAACAAAATTTATAGAGGGGTGTAAGGCTGGTGTGAGAGGAAACGCAAGGATATTATATATGCGCCCACAGTTTGATAGTAGGTAACTTTCGCCCTGGGGTCTTGAAAGACCCTATGGGTATCATTTTGTAAAGCTAACTTCAACTTATTTCTTGGCACAGAAAAATCGATTATTCACTCTCTATTATTGATTGAAAGATCACGGTAGGAACTTCCAGTACTTTGCGCCATTTCAAAATAGCTGCGTTTCAAAAAATTGGGAATTTTTTGTGTCACAATTTCAACGCGCTCTGATTTAACTTCTTGACTTTTCACAAGCCTGTAAAGCCAACGATGTGATCACACTTGAACATTGAGAAAAGTGCGCAAGTTGGCATAAATCAATATAAACGAACTTTTAGCCTAAATCCAATTTCACGGTTAGAGTCAGCGTAAACAGCATTGTAATGTTCTCAAAATGTTTGGTATCTTTTTTGAGGTCAAATGACTCAAAAAGTTCGTCGAAAATCTCACTAATCCTACAGTAACAATCAGCAATTGTTGATTTATTCTGAACGAATTCAAGTTAAACAGCTTCACTCAATGATACCAAGCTAAAAATCTCAGGGTAAGCTGCAATCAAACAGTGGTCAAAATACTTGTGGGATGTATAGGGCATTCGAAAAATCATGACGATGGCGCGAAGGCGCGCGACACGCACGCGCCTTCTGGAAACAGCATTTTCTTGGTTTTGATCTATACTCGACTGGTTTTTCTGCTTAGACCAGTACTTGGACACCGGAAGTGACTGAGCTGAATGTTGAGGTAATGCATTTTTGTATGAGGGTGTTATGCTCTGTGGGAGCGAAGTCCGCAGTCAAATCCGTCGTTACGATTTTACAAATGAACCATACAAAGTGATGAGTGTACGTACAGTTGCATTATAGCCAATGAAATACCAGGAAAGATTATTGGTGATACTTATTTACCTAAAATTTTCAGTTTACCTATCTCACTTCCGTCACGAACAGATCGAATCGGAAAGGATTCTATTGCATGTCAGGTGAGTATTCCTTTCAAGCACTTTGTCTTATTTTTGCGATTTTTTCTCTAATTGCATACATCCGCTGCTTCCCGCCACTCAAGGCATTACTGAACATGATGTTATGTCCATAAAAATGCAATCATAGCATTCTTCATCTAATGCAAAGAATAACGCGGTAATTACCAAATAACCATATAGTCCAAATTGCTCACATCTTATTCCACAAAGTCGTTAAAATATTCCCTGGATATCTGAGCTCTTGCTAATCTAATGCCGTCTTTTCCTTCTTTTTTCTTCATATAAAATAAGTATCTTTTCCTTCTTTTTCTTCATTTGAAACAAGAATTTCTTTCTCTTCTTTTTTCTTCATATAAAACAAGAATGTCAATTAAGAACCGCATACAGTTCAGCAAAGTAACTTTTGCACTGCTTTTCCATAGACAATTCATTTCTTACGAAATCGGGAAAAAATTGGGGAATCCAACTTTACAAAAAATATTATTTCTCATTTGGAGAGCGGCTCGGGCAAAATGCGAGTACAAGTTTCCGTCCCTCTTTGGCCTTCTGGAGCGCTGAGTAAAGGACTGTGCTTGAAATCTCTCGAATTTGCCAAGAAGAGGTTTTTATAGCGTTTTCTGGCCTTGAAGATGAGCTTACTGAAAGGGCCGGAGAAGAGATTCCGCCAAAAACAACGACTGTTGCAGAGAACTGTATTGGTGGTCACTCCACCCAGCTGGAGGGAATCGCTTATCCAGCTACTCCAGCAATCTCCAAGGAAAACGCTATAAAGGACTTTCTTGAAAAACTTCGACAGATTCCAAGCAAAGTCCTAAACTAGCGCATTCAGAAGGCCAAGGAGGGATAGAAAACTCGGCAATCGCAATTTTCCCATGTGGCTGCTCCTAACAGCTTAACTTGGATATATTCAGTCCAAAAAAAGCCAGTAAGATGAATGCCTAACCAATAAATTTGCCCTCGTGAAAGCACCAAAGAAACCCATTTTGACAGCTCCGCAATTTCTCAGAAAAAAAGTGTAATCAATCAACTTCAGCAAAACAGCGAAAGCAGAGATTGATTTACAATTTGAGAAAACCATTTGTTTTATTATCTGGCCGTTACAGCACAAAAACCTATCCGATAGCACGTCTTAACTAATCCAACACTCGTAGGATAATCGTATTAGGATTCGTCACAAAAAAATCTTCCCATTTTTTATCCTGATATAATTGCAGTGAATCCAGTTCCGATGGCACAAAAAGCGGATCTAGCGTCAAGCAGTACAAAAGTAAGTTCAGTTTCCCCAATAAAGTTCATATAAGAAAAACGGTCTTTGGTATCAAGTAACAAATCGTATTTCCAGTTCCTGGAGCCAGCTAAGCCATCGGAAAATCCTTACAGATCAAGACTACTTTATCACCAAACTAGGTGGCTGTAGCCGCCTATGAGCTCAAACGCAAGCCTCAAAACTCGAGATACCAGCTCTTTCACATAAACTTTTATTACGATTTAATTAAAGTTGTAAATACGTCTCATGATATGTCTATTAATGCCTAAAGAATACACCTCTAGAGTTAATAAAGACAATGAATCACATACCCGTAATTTATCAGTTCACAACTGGAATGCATAAAATCTCGAACAAAAGAGATGAATGAGGTGACACGCATCAACAGAATGGCAATGATTACATTTGCAGGAGAAAAAGAGAAAATGCTGTTAAAACTTGCAGCTGTAAAATTGCACCTGAACGGATTTGAGAAAAAAGATTATAAGTTTTCCTAGAGCACTATTCAAACTGCTAGATAAGAAGGCAATGTGTACCAAATGATTAAACCTGGTGTTAGGTGGAACACCCATCATTCAGTCGCAGCGCGATCTACTTCAGCTTCGTTTCTCCGACGACGCCGGGAAAGTACGCCAACACAGACGAAAAAGGCTGCAACAGCTAGTAACTCCATAACCGTTTTGACATCGAAGACATCATTGATGGAGCGAACGTTGGCCAAGACACAGCCAGCGCGGACGCAAAGGATGTTGTAAGGAATCAGACCTGAATGAGATAAGAAGGTAGCTGTGGGTGCCATGAACTTTTTCGGGCCACAAGGAAAAACTTTTCGAATGGAAGCACTTCGAAGACTCCACATTTATATGAAAAATTTGGAAATGCTTTTTTGAGTTTTTAGAAATAACACAAAAACCGGTACTTTACCGTTATCTGGACCCTATTTCTTGAAAGGCTCTGATAAAATACGTTCTTCAGTCTAACAAGGGAAGCTACCTAACTTAGCGTTTTGGCAAGTGACATATATATTCTGAATCAGCTTTGAAGGCTGGTTCCAAATTTGCTATTCCTAGCTGCCGAGCACCATTCCGAAGAGAGTTATGGACTTTTTCCTGCGCAAAATTGGCACACTCATCGACTCACTGGCATCATGGCATCATCACCTAAGTGCTATACACTTGCGTTCAACTTCTTTTTAGTATGAAAAGAATGGAGTTGCGTTATTTCGATATCTCAACACCTTTTTTCTTGCGAATTTTTATCTACAGGTACTCTCCGCATGTTCAGTAGTATGCCAATTTTGCGCAGGAAAAAGTCCATAACTCGCTTCGGAATGGAGCTCTCAGCTATGGGTAGCATACCTGGAATCAGTGTTTGAAGCTGATTTAGAACATATTTTTCCCTTGCCAAATGGCCGAGTTAAGCTAGGTAGCTTTCCTCACAAGAACAATTTTTCTTACAAGGGAACGATCCCAACTTAAGGTGGCGAAGTGGAATGAACCGCATATCATTAGATGCGTCTTGATGAGCTGATTCCAAATACACCCTCCATATCTGCGACAACGTTATCTGGAAGAAGTTATGAAAGGTCAAAAATGTGAAGTAACGGGGGTTTTGATGCATAATTTACTTTAAAATCCAACTTAGAAGTGCACGACTAGCATCATATTGAGTGTACTGTTTTCAAGGAATGCTCACACTCTAAAGGAACACAAATAAGTGTTTTTGAACAACTAATTTTAAAGGTATTGCGCTGTATATTTGCCAAATTCGGACTTTTCATTGCTCATAGCTTTTACCAAAGAACTTTAGTTGCTTTTCAGCTGGTCAAAAACATTTATTTGCATTTCTTTTGAATGCGAGCATTCCGTGAAGTCAGTACACTCAATATGATGCTAGTCGTGCACTTCCAAGTTGGATTTTAAAGCAAATTATGCATCAAAACCCCCGTTACTTCACATTTTTAACCTTTCATAACTTCTTCCAGATAACGTTGCCGCAGATATAGAAGGTAGATTTGGAATCAGCTCATCAAGACGCATCTAATGGTATGCGGTTGTTTCCAATTCGCCACCTCAAGTTGGGATCGTTCCCTTGTTAGATTCTACGAAGAGCCTCTCCGCTACGCGTCGAAAAAACACACACGTTTCAGTCAATTCTGACTTGTTTTTTTTTTCATTGCCAGTGAGATAAATGAGCATTCGTGGCCATCTAAAAACCTTTCAGCTGTTTTCTATGAGAGCGAAACTGTCTAGAACTTATCGCAGAGCATCTTGATTGCTTTTAGCAATAATGTAAAATTCTCTCCTCTTCAAACTTTCCGCCATGCGAATTTAGCCAGGAGAGAAGACTATAAATGACAGTATCTCGCTGCTGTTTGTTTCCCGCTTGGACAATGGAATCCTAGCGCACTTCTCCATTCTGGGCAGGTCTAATCTGTTCAAAGATAACAGAATAGCATTATTATTATACCATTGTTCATTTGTGCAATTGTTTAGTTGCAAATGGCGTCATTATTGACTAAAATATAGATTGAACTTATGTGACTAGGTACCTAGTGCAACACAAACCCGTGGTAAACCCCGTCGAACATGTCGATGACATTTTTTTTGACTGGCAGAAGGTTGACACTCCTTTCTGTGTTGGGATCAGATATGGTACAAGGCCAGAAAAATTATCGTTCATTGAAAAAATGGGCCCGGGCAACGGAGAAGTACCCAAAAACCTTACAAATTCGCCTACACAAAAAATTCAGAGAAATTATATTTACTGAAAACACATAATCTGCACAATTCTATAACTCATGAAACATTCGCATTCCCCCCCCCCTCCTCTCCTCCGTACTGAAGGAGGTGATTAATTTTCCACAATGCAACTTCTCAATCTCCTTCGGTGATTTTATGTACCGCCTTGGTAGTCTGATAGATCAGGAAACAAGCACGTAAAGGAACCATGCCGGGACCCCAAAGCCTACATAGTGTAAAGTGTTTTTATGATCAAGTTCGTATCTGGCGTCCACACCAATTGCACATACATCTCCGGCCATCCAAGATGTATGTTCAGTCAGATAGAATTTTTTGTCGTTTTGCCGCAGATGTTCATGAGGAGATGTTTTGATGGAGCGTCAGCTTATCATTTCATGACACTTCCAATTAACAATGAAAATTTGCACAGAATCTTTGAACGCACTAATCGAGAGATAACGCAGAGTTGCTCGATTCAGATCGAAAAATTAATCTGCGCATTCACGAAATGAAACTTTGAGCAAAGCCGTGAAACTAGGATTCATTTCTAGCACATTAGTGCCTACTAAAAACTACTTTCTTCACCAAAATTAGAAATCCTGAAAGAAATCGGAATACCAACGTCATCCTATGACGTTCCCTAAGCCTCAAAAAACATCGCAAACACACTCTCTCACACGCTCATTACCTCCCCCGAAACTCTTGCACAAACAAACAAGACCCGAAAATCAGGAGGCAAGCTGCAGCGCTCCTCGTCCTTTTTTTCGAAAATAAAATTCTCTAGCGAGGCTACACTGTGCCATCATCATATGTATACCTCATGTGGCTGCAGGCGATTCTTTCATCAAATAAGTATTCATTTCCGCGGAAATCCGCCCAAGAAAGCGCTGATGCCCTCAACGGCGAGATTGCAAAAGTGCAGAGTGCAGCAACACACACAACACATGCAATGTCTAACAATGCACGCAGGTACTTGTTTACTTTTCCTCAGCGAAAAAAATTCCCTAGTCAGCAATCAGAAAAGATGCCACGAACTATTTTTTAACTGCAATAGCAGGTGTTGCAATCGCTAAAGAAAGTATCTTGATCAGCTGACAGTTGCAAATGCGTAAGCAGATCCTAAGATAACAGGTGTCCAAAATGATAATAAAAAACATACCAATCAACACGGTTACTGCATGGGTAAGCAATGAGATACCAACGAATGGAGAGCAAATGTTGAGCAACCAATGTGGACAAAATGGAAGAACCCGTGCTCCCAGTAAAAACATAAATAACTGTTGTCGCTCAACAGATATCTGGAGAAAAAACTCTCAAAACCAAACAAGTTTGGAAAATTGATGCTTCACTCACTTTCCGTCGAAGTACAGTAAGCCGACTTTTAAGGCACCTATCTATGATCGGCTTCATAAATAATGCCGAGAGCATGTAGCAGCCGGAAGCACCAATGGCATTCAGAATGCAAACAAGAACACTTCCTTTCCATGCGCCAAAAAGTGCGCCAGCCAAGAGATTCTGAAAAAAGTTGCTTTCGACACAAGTACAAATGGTGACGAAAATATAACCAAGGTTCCCTTCAATTATAAAGGGATTATAAAGAGGAGTTTTCCGACTGGATTGATTTTGATTTGCATAATGAATAAGCGCCAGATAACTCCATCACCTTATATAAGGTAGTCATTGTCCGTTTCGACTCTCAAGAAAATAGGAGGACCGCTGACTTACCAGAAAGAAGGATCCTGGTATAGCAAATGTTTGTTTGTAAAGATATGCATAACCAAATATGAAGGCGGTGTACAGTGGATGCGCGTCTCTGTAATTACAACAATTGAGTGGAAAAAAACCTTAGCACACGGAATGCTCGTCAAACCGGATATGAAATAAAACTTCAAACAAAACTAATCCTTGATTCAAAATCGAAAATCACTTTCTATTACATGAAAAACGAGAAGATAAACCATAGTTCAAACGAGAACATGCTTAAACTCAAGTAGCCAAATGGCTCAATCCTTTACTGTTGAGGATCTACGTCAGAGGCTCACGAATAAATCACTAGCACGTGCCAATTTGCGGAGGTACCAAAATATCTTCTGAATCTTGAGTAAATATGTGAAATCCATATCAGTATAAACGAGGGTATGCAATTAGGTTTCACCTCTAAAACAAAGTAGCGGGCATTGGTTCGTCAGTTTTGAAGGCAGAAAGTACTGAGTATTGTTGTAATTCAATGTTTTTTCTAAGAAAAAACGACAGATGCAGGATGACAGGATGACACGCACATGTGTAAAGCGCACAACTGAGCGTTATTTTTACCGTGCTGAGATATTTATAAGTTCAGAAAAAACCAAGAAAACATATTTTGCAATAGAAAACTCGCTATTATTCGAATACAGTCTAGTTCAGGGCTAAAGACTGTTGAACTTGAAACATAATTAAATAGATTCATAAGCATTACATATTAAGACCGCACTAGAATTCCAGCAGACTTAAGATTTGATAGGAGATAAGAATCAAAATAATCTCCAAATGAAATGCTTACTTGTATCCCTCTAGCGAGTCAGCTAATTTCCGCAAATCTTCGAGGTTTTTTGGAAATGCCAGCCTCCGCATAGCTCCGGAACTAGGCGCATAACTCCATATGACATATAGAAATAACGTTGCTGCTGCAAAAGCCGCTGCCAATCCGGACAATCTAAGCATAGATGCCGGCGGTTCCTCGTCTTCTTGCTCCTGTAAGCAAATACTCTACATATGAATCCTTCGACTGCGATACCAAGAATCAATGCCAAATGTCAATCGAAAACATCCTAGCACTCTAGCCTCTTGAAAAACAGCAATACTCAAACCCAATACTGCATGCTAGAAGACGCGTTAAGAACCAACATTCATCAATTAAGAGCTGTAATTTGGAAAAAAAAGTCGAGACCAAGAGCTCGATTTGATGCTGAATAGTTGGGTATAAAGCAGTCATTTGTTATGATAGGTGCTCTAGCTTGACTTCCAAAATATGGTCGTAACTCTTGCAGCTACGAATTTGATGACTGAAAGCGATATTGGATAGAGCAGGATAATGAAGAGAATGAAACCAGAGGCAGCTTCCAGTGACAAAGTTTGAAGTCAGAAACTGCCCTGGAGATTTTCGAAGCATCCCATGGCTAAAAAACCCAATGCCCATGTATCCAACAACACTTGAGGTACAAAGCAAATTCATTTAGTCCTCCCAATACGAATTCTATTACGTAAAGACTAAAGTTCGAAAAAGAGTCCATATAATCACGAAATTTGCAAAAGAGAAAGCCTCAAAATTCATGAGCATTATCCTTTCTAGCCGTTAAACACAACATGAATTTATGTTCGGAGTAAAAACAGAGCGATGATGTACTAATCAAAAGCTACAGTGAGAGAAAAAAGTAGCGAGCGTCTGACAATGGGGTAGGAAGAAGCTGTACGCCGGCAACTGCGTAAACACAGTTTTCTTGTCAACAGGTCTGCAATCGCACTCTAGATGTCATGACTCCGTGCCTCAAATACTTCTCTAATTTAGGACCTACCTTGATAAGCTTTTCGAGAGACTGTGAGATAGTAACTAACCTCTTCTTGTAAATCATCGAGCTCCGGGCTCGATTTGGACGAAGCCTGCGGCTCGCTCACGATTCCAGCTGAATTCCGGCAGAGCCCCGCCGATTTGCGAGGAGGCAGCAATAGTGCAGAGAGTGAAATGGAGTGTTTATCGGAAGCCCCGAGTAGCATGGCCGCGAACTATGGAAGCATGCTGGCTTGGATAACGGGATATCTCCTTCTCTTCTCCAGGCGAAAGCCGCACGCCCGTTCGGCCGCCATTATTGAACAGAGAAGGCAACTGTCCGGTGCGGGGTGTGGGCAAAAGCAAATTACTGCTGGCAGCAAAGAACCGACACTCAGTGTGTTCTGCGTGCATAACTGGTTCGTGGGGCTCTGCGTTTCTATGACAATCGTCTGACTTTGTAGTTTTTTCTCGAGGATGATAAGAGCTCAGAATGGCTCCAATCGCACTCTTTAAGCAACATATAATTATCCTTGCTTCAAAAGTGCTTTCGCAGGCACTTCTTATGTGATTTGACGTCAGCCGAGTGATGAAATTGGTCCAATATCCAAGGCTGCGCAGTGAAACAGTTCACGGCGACTATGACCTTTTTCTCTCTCATGCGTCATTTGCATCCTTGGAAAAGATCAGAGAATGTATGACGATTATCCGGTCGTCTATAATACGAGCTAATCTGCGTTTTGCAGTTATCTCGATTGTCTCAAGCGTGACGGATGGGAATCTTAATACACATTCAAACATAAGGAATTGAAGAAATCTTTGCACCACGTGCGACACAGCTTCGTCGGAACTTTCGGAAACCTTACAGCGTAGAAATTTTCGCTACAAAAAGTCCTTTTTCCAAATTCTATTCGTCCAGACTTCACTTTGATTGATTGCAAATAAAAGCCACCGCAGACAATCCTCCATGGATGTTACCGTTATCTGAGAGATGCGTAAGCATTGCGGACATCGATGCGGTGCGGTGAGTAGCGAATGCACGCTCGTTGGCAGCTTTCCAGGACACTCAGAGTCCATTCCATGTGTATGTTGGCCTAATTAGATTTTCAACTAAGCAGCGGCTTTTGTCTCGCTGTCTTTCTCCTTTAAATTTGCTCCCCTATAAAGAAGAAACGGCTGAAGTCAAAAAATTGTGCAACGAGTTGGATTTTCTGCACATCGCTGCAAATCTCCTCCTCTAAGATTCAAATGACTACGAAGAAGACGAAGCTTCACAGGTCACATAAACTACTGAATTATGGAAGTCGCTTGAACGAGCATTCAATTATCGCACCATATTGCAGGCTCAAAGAAGCATTTGCCGAGCCGAAGATCAAAAAAAGGTTCTAGGATGCATTCGGTAGAACATCTTCTGCTCATTCTCAATAAAAAAAATCTTTGGTGATCGTTTGTTTAATCATAGAAGTCAGCAATGCGCCTTTTTAAGCTTTTTCCAAGTTTCCCAAATTTTTGTTAATTTTGCGATAGCAGATGACTGTCTGACGGAACAGAGCTTTGGCTCTACGAAACTGTTTTCCGAAAAATGCACCAATTTGAAATTTGAATATTGGGTTGCTCACGAAAAGCTCAGTTTTGATGACTGCTCTGGACCCGATACTCTAAGCAAAACCGATTATAGCTGAGATTGAAATAAATCGCAAGGTTTTCAAATGGTCTAAAATAAAATACTTTTCAAGAAGCTTTTTGTTTGATTTCCTTGCTCGTAAAGTAATTGAAGGTGCGAAGAATGATTAGAGGCGCGAGAAAGTCTGGAGCTCCCCAGGCACTTCCAGAAGCAAATGCGGCAAGCCTTTGCTGCCTCCTGCTCGTCCCAAAATCCGCTTTCATAAGCATACTATATCTTTGCACTCATAATTTTATTATACTGAAAACTGAGATATTAGGTCGTTCCGAAAGTTTTTTCCGTTTTTTCAACCCATCATAAAAATACGTGGAATGAAGTTAGGGAAACGCTTTAAGCACTGTCCGGCACAGCTTTTCTTCCTCTTTTCAACTGTCATATCCCTGTGTCGCTTGCTCTTGCGATCAGTGAGATAATGTTCGAATTTTCGAACCCATGGTTTTCACGATACCCAAATTTGGCAATTTTTCACGATCTTCTTTTTTGACTTTTGGAGAAGCTTTGACAGCAGTCAGATAGAGCAAACAAAGTGCGATTTAATGGAATTTTTCTGCGCCCATAGCTAGTCTTGAAACCTGTTTAGAAATATTTTTTGATGCTATCAAATTCCACTTTTGGTGATGCCAAGAATCATAGAACATAAAACAGCGCACAACTAAGGTGTCATTCGATGCAGCTTTTTCTCCTCTTCCTATTGAGTATCTTTCTTCCCAATTTGTGGGAGTTTTTGGCGATAAAATTTCCATAATTCTTGATTTGAATCCGCCTAAGGGTGTACACGCAAAAAGCGAAATCTTATATTTCGAAGCGGTAAACACTGAGTTACTTTGTAAAAATAGTGGACAATCATAAACGACTTTTGAAAGTATCGAAATCCGAAGCTTTGTTAATGTTCGGAGCGTTTTTGTTTTTTGTGATTTCGAAAAAATGAAGACTTCTGGAAAAATTATCTCAAAAAATACTAAGAAGCCAGTCAAAGTTGCCAAAAAATTCCATTAGATTGCACTTTGTTTACTCTATCTGAGTGCTATTGAAGCTTTTCCAAAAGTCAAAAAAAAAGGATGTGAAAAATTGCCAAAGTTGGACACCACGAAAACCATGGGTTCGAAATTTCAGACATTATCTCACTGATCACAAGAGCAAGCGGCACATGTATATGACATTTGAAAAGAGGAAGAAAAGCTGCGTCGGATAGTGCCGAAGCGTTTCCCTACCTTCATTCCTCGTGTTTTTATGATAGGTTGAAAAAACGGAAAGAACTTTCGGAACGACCTAATATATATAAAAACTGTCGAGATGTTGTTCAAGATCTGAAAATGGTACTCGAGTCATGAGTCGAGTATTACTCTTGAAGTGATCGAGTCGATCACCACAAGGACTGACTGCAGATTGCGCATGCGCCATGCGTGCCAGAGGCTTGTACCAGTACAAAGCGCTGTTGTGCAAGTATGCTCTCGTCATATTTACTACAGTGCTGGCCATAGCTATAAAGCCACCCTAAAAATCGCTGTAATTTGCTCTTTCCTCATAATTGTTTGAACCATTATTCTGTGTGCAAACTAAAGGCATACTGTTGACAGAACGGCTCTTTCATTGATTTTGGCCGGAGAAAAATTACAAATTTTGAAAAAACGGGTTCCGAAAGCTGGTCACAGGTATAAAGCCACCTTTCATTTTCAAGCAGTACTGTTTTTTTGAGTCTCAAACTTTCTGTACATACTTGTAAGCAGCTGCCTTTTGAAAAGAAGATTCGTACTGCATTTTTCACTCTAAAATGCATAAAAAGTCACATCATTTGCAAAAAACTGCTTTTCCACTGAATTTTGAACCACTTTTTGACTCGGATGAAGGTCCTAGGCTTTGTCGAGCCTTTGCAATGAATAAGATGAAAAGCGCTCGAATCAACGTTACGTAGTCGCTGATATTGATAAACAGCCTCATCTTACCAAGGTGTAAGCACGCCTCTGAGACGCAAGACTTGACTTCTGACGCGCGAAAACTTTCGGTTGACACCTTATTTGCATGGCGACGTACTTATGCAGAAGCTGTCAGGTTTTTTGCAGAGACGTATTTGCCGCATTGAAGGTAGAACGCTTTGTCTGCAGTTCGTTTGTGCGCAGTGTATCTCACAGGACTTCAAATTCTACTGCTTTGAACTCCTCATCAAGTCAAATCTTACTAAACTGTAAAGAATACTAAGATTTTGAAATTTTGAGCGGTTTTCCGCCCATTGAGTGGTCCGAGTGAGTCATGATCAGATAGAGTGCACGACTCATTTTCGCAAAAAACGCGTCCAAAGCGGAACCAGAATCCTCAGAGATGCGATGACATACAAGCTATGCACACGAATTTATCGTTGTACAAGCGACGTGCTGAGCACGCAATAGAGCTTTTCGGGCATAAGCTCAATTTCTGCTGTTCGAAAACTCGTTTACCTGGAGGCGAGGTTGGGGCTCGTTTATCAATATCGGCGACTACGTAGCGTTGATTCAAGCGCTTTTCATCTTATTCATTGCAAAGGCTCGACAAAGCCTAGGACCTTCATCCGAGTCAAAAAGTGGTTCAGAATTTAGTGAAAAAGCAGTTTTTTGCAAATGATGTGACTTTTTATGCATTTTAGAGTGAAAAATGCAGTACGAATCTTCTTTTCAGAAGGCGACTGCTTCCAAGTGTAACAAATGTTTCAATTTTGAAATTGTATATGTACAAAAAGTTTGAGGTCCCAAAAATGAGTACTGATGAAAATGAGAGGTGGCTTTATAGCTGTGACCAGCTTCCGAAACCCGTTTTTCAAATTTTTCAATTTTTTTCCGGCCAAAATCAATGAAATTGGAAGCCGTTTTACTCAATGATATGATAGCTATCGTTAGCTGCACAGAATAGTGGTTTTTCAGACAATTATGACCAATAGAGAGCAAATTACAGCGATTTTTAGGGTGGCTTTATAGCTATGTCCGGCACTGTGAAACCGCGCTGCGCGTGTCCCGCAATCCACGGCAGTTCGTGCGGTCGACAACTCGAAGGTAAAACCATCAGGCCTTTTTACCGGTGTTCCATCGAGAAGGTTAGCTAAAAAGTAAAAATTGGTCGTTTTCGAGGGTTTTGAATGATTTACAAATTCATTTGTGTAGGAAGGTATGGTACTAATCAAAAGAGCAATTCAGAGAGAATCGGGCGGGAACCCTCTCTATCTGAAGAAAGTTTTGTCAATGATGAAATGGTACAAGAAGGAAAAATATCAGATTTTTTTTATCAAATTTCTAAAAAGTTTAGCTCCGAAAAACGAATTGAAGTTGAGTTTAAAATGTACATTTGGCATTCGCTACCGAAAATTATAATGCCAAAAAAGTACTTTTCGGAAGGCTAGCCATATAAGGGCCTAATTACCATTTGTTAACGAGAAAGTTCTTGAAAACAAGATATATATTGGAGGTATGTAGTACCTCTCTAAAAAAGGAATCTCAGCTACCCTTCGATTCAACTAGGTTGGCGGCTAGAAAGCGGGGTTCGAACCTAGTTAAAGGCAGCGTCCGGGCAAGATCCATCCACCCAGGTTAGCACATAGTTGTAAAGAGGGGCCCATGAGTATCCGACCTGCGTTGGTCCGAATCTTTGAAGTGGCCTCTAAAAGGAGATACGGAC